AGAGCGAGAGAGAGAGAGACAGAAGAAGAGATAGAAGAAGAAGAAGAAGAAGAAGAAGTAGCAAAAGAAGAGACGGGCGTGTGGCGTGCGTTCGTCGTACGGGACGTGTTATTAGCTCGGCACTCTTCTGTCTCTCTCTACTTGTCTCTTTTTCTCTGTGCTCCTTTCTCCACATCTCCCTTTGCTGCCCATCTTCTTCCTATTTCTTCCTCTCCTTCTTTTTCTTCCTTCTCCTTCTCCTTTCACTCCCTTCTTTTTTCTTCTATTTCCTACGCGGGGGCTAGAAACGCGTTTAATTAACATAGCTGGCATGGCTGCATCCCTCTTCTCTCGGGTACCGGGCAGCCAGTCAGCTTTTACGGACCATTGCACGCACGATGCACGTATGTATTACGAGAGCCGCTCTCTCTCTCTCTCTCTCTCTCTCTTCTCCACCTCCTCATCCGCCTTCTTCTTCTTCTACCCTCCCTCCATCGCGGCGTGTGCACGTTTAGGGTTGAAAATGCCGGGCATGGTACCCGTGGACATCAACGCTATGCAATTCTCGAGAAAATTGTAACAGGAGAATTTTCGCGAAAAATTTCCCGCTTCTGCGAAAAAGAACTTTGGAGATGTGACGATCAATTAAAATCATTACTAATCGAAGATGCATGTCGAATCCATCTTTTAATAAAATTAAAAAGATTAATTTTTAAAGTTTGGTAAAATAAAGAGGGCTGATTCTTGTAAGTTTCTCAAAAAGTAAATTGCATTAATTATTTCAAATTATTTCAATTTTATTTAGTGAATTTTTTAATGCAACATTTTTTTAGGATTTCGGCAATTGGGACAATTTCGACAATTGATTCGAGAAGAGTCGACTTTTGTATTAAAAAAAAAATATATTTTTTTATTACATAAATTTATTAGAGATATTTCAAAGCAAAAAAAATTTATAAGCACAGTTTTCTCTAAGAAAATGACAAAATCGGAAATCATTGATTATTTCGATGGCAAGTCTATAATAAACGTTTCCTGTATACCACAAGTTTTTGAGGAAATTTTCATCTGATTTCCGTTTCTAAGACTTGGCGAAATACACGCGATACGAATCTCCGAGTTTGCGCAAAAAATTTAATGACAAGCGCAGATAGAACGAGTGTCCTAAATTGTTTTTCGCAGTTCTTGCACTTGTAAATATTCGTACACGTTGGCCTCCGAAGCAACCTGGATAATGCAACGAGCATGCAATGTTCTCGCGGTGTATTGTTGAGGCATTGCAGTATAAGTTGGATTTTTGTTCGCGAGATTAAAGGCAGAGCGATATCAATCAAAAAGGGAATTTCCTTGTTATTGATAATTAATGTTAATATATATAAAATACATAAATATATATATATATAAATACTTTCATTTATATTCGCTCACATGTTACCGTAGTGTTCCTTCAATACATCTAACTAATTGCAGAATACAATGAACACGTGCCTGTATGATCTATAGGTGCAACCTTAAAGCTTTTTTTTATCCTTTGTTTTACTCAGTAGCAAAACAGAGAAAGAAACATTTTACATCGCAAGCGAAAAATGGACAGATATGATATAAACAAATAACTCTTTTATTTCTTATATTATTAGAAATAATTGTTCAAATTTATTTTTCTTTGAAACTAAAATACAATATTTAGAATTAACTCAGAAAAAAGAAAGAAAAAGAAAGAGATAAGTGATTTGATTTAGAGAGAGATGATTTTCTATTTAATTTTTTCAAATAAATTATATTATTTATGAATTTTTGGCATTTTTAAATTATGTTATTGCAGCTTCGTGCTTCTAATGTTGATATTTATAGAAATTAAACTATGTTTTGGCTCTGATGTATCCACGCATCCTTCTTTCATCTCGCGTCAGAAGTACGTGCGTGCGTGTTGCGCGTGTCCCGCATGCAGAGTGCCATGTGTTCCATCGAGAGAGAGAAAGAGAGAGCAAGAAAGAGAGAAAGGGAAGGAGAGAGACGGCGGATATAACGCACGCCTACCCACGGAAATGCGCTTTTTGACGGATCGCCCGACTAATTCGGTGGTTGTCACCGCATACGCGTGAGAATTAATGGCGACCACCTAGTCGTACCCTCCGCGAATTCCTCGGAAATTCTTCACCCCCGAAGAGTAGCCCGAGGAGTATTTGCCGCTTAATTGGGACTTTCAGGCCGGCAATAATTACGATAATAATAGAGCCTTAATTCACTCGACGACTTTACACGTGTTTTGCGAGGACGAGGAAGTCTCGATCTTTTTTTGGCTTGCAATTTCGGCGCAATACTCGACTGTTTTTTGTATGAATGTCTGCAAATTGCAAAATGCGAGTGATCTGTGAAATAATGTAATCCATTTTGTAAAATATAAATTGCAATGGGCATTCGAAATTAAACTATATTTATTATTAAACATTAGCTGAGCTTTTGGATAGTTACGATATAATAATAATGAATATTATTAACTTGAAATAGAGAGATTGCAATATAACTTAAAAAGAAGTTTAAGCATGCACGTGTGGAAATAATAATTACAATAATTTAAAAATTTGCAACAAATATAATTTTTGTAATAATTAAAAAAAAATTAATTAATTGCGTTGTATTATTTAAAAAAAATATTATTTAAGATCAATTTTTCTTATCGCTTGATATGTATATATATATATATATATATATATATATATATATATATTTACATATTATTCCATCAGTGCTTATATTTCACAGTTTGATATGTATATATATATATATATATATATATTTACATATGTATGTATATGTAAATTCTGTATGTTATTGTTCGTATTCTCTCTCAATATGAAACTAGTAGTGCTATCTTGTAGCATTGGAGAATAAGAGAGCTTCGAAATATTCTTACCATTTCATGATAACTTCGAATGATTTTTTTGCAAGATATTCTTATAATATATTTGTACATAAAAGTTTCTGAGTTTTTATTACATAAAAAAGTGATATTGCAGTCTTCTGATTTATTTTTCGTATATATTATTTTCTGAATAGAAAGAATGGAAAGATTAAAATTAATTTTTGTCTGATCCGAATAATCTTTTTTAATCCATTATGCAATAGCTTTCAATATTATTTACAAAATAGAATAGAGACGGAAGAGAACTAAAAAATATTGATAAAATATAACACATATTTGTCATTTATGTTTTAAACGATAATTGCGAATTTTATATAGTATAATTGTATCATCATACAAAATTAGAAATTACATTATTATTTTAAATTAATATATTGCTGATTGTTGACACATTATTATTGATGATTATTGCATATTGATTATTATATATTCGTAATTCAATACCAATTCAATGAATAATCTATTCATTCTGACCCAATTCCTAATTATTTCAATTCTTTCTCTCATCATATGCTTCATAAATCTGAATAAATCTAAACAAAGTCTTTTACTTTTAAAGCTCACTAAAAAAAGAATTAAAAAGAAAATGCAATTCAATATTAATTACATCAAGCATTAATTGATTATAAAATCATACTGCATGCGAATCATAGCATTAATTATGTCCAAATATATACATAGTCTGGAAAAAGAAGCACAATTTTTATATGACAGTTCGATAAAAACTAAATTATATCAAAGTTATCTAAGAAGCACAAAGCTGATTAAAGCTTTCAGGTTGAAAATCGAAGCTGTGTATGTGATGATCCTATTTGCGATCTATTTGAGAAATTTATGTGAAATGTGCATGATGATAAATTACTTGGCACGCAATCTGCGGTGATGTGTTCACGCCGAGACGAATAAGAAACATATTAATCAAGAAAGAAGTACCCTTATAAAAAAAGCACGATTGGATTGATATAGATGGTTAAACTTATGCAATGCTTTGTCAGAAATTAATGATGATAGTTGTGCGCATATATAAGTTATATATATAAGTGCGTATGATAAATTATTTTTTTAACTTACGCAGAGGTAACGTAATCAACAATTTACTGCATAAAGGAACGTTTCAAACTTTATATAAAATTGATAAGCCACGTCACAATTATTTTCGACCGGACTAATTAAATTATCTCCAGTGTAAGATGTCATCTCGAATAATGCTTTATTAAATAGCCAAACTATAAAAATCTTCTAAATTATCAATGAGAAAAATTTTATCCGTGTGTTTATATTGCATTTCTTAAAATCTTCACATAATTATTAGTATCGAGATTAACATGACGGATAAAATTTTCTTTCATCCATTAAAATGATTTTTATCCGTCCACAGGACAGGTATTTACTTCCGGGATTGAAGAAGCAATAAAGCTTGCCGACCCTGAAGATCAATCGACCTTCGTGGTCGGTCACGATCGGTGCATCGTAAACAGACGCGGAATGCGTCGTAGGACGACGAAAAGTGGCGGAGGCGTCGTCGAGGGTATCCTAGAGAGGAGAGGAGAGGATCCTTCTATTTTGGGCCTCGCGCCTCTCGATGACGTCACATGGACGGAAATATCATATGGTTAGGGAGGTGCAGTCCGCGAGATCTGCCTGTTGCGCGGTCCAGATCTCGATCTTTCCCGGAGTCGCGCAAAAATCTTCGACCCCGTTGCGGCTCATAGTCACTTCTCTCGTTGAAAGGCAAAAAGGGAGAAAGAAGGACGTATCTCGACGATCGTGCATCTTCGAGGATCTTCTTCTTCTCCTCTTCGAGGAACTTATTATTCCGAAACGAAGTTTTCGAGAGAAGTGGGTCGCGTACAGATCTCGCCCACGCTTTGATCCCAACTTATCGCGGTCGGTCCAGGAATCTGTCAGTGGCGTATCGCGCACGTCCTCGGGAGGATTGTCGCGCTCGTCCCACGGGTGACGAGTCGTCAGTTAACGCGACGAGCGAATGCGAGAACGTCTTTGAAGATTGGAGTGAAAGCAGGATTTACCTCCTTTCCCAAAAAAAGAGGACTCGCTAAGCAAAAGATGCCTGGCGCCGGTGGTCAGCCACCGCAGAGGACCATCTTCCGACCACCCTGGGTCAAGGATGGTCCCAACCCGTTGCCCATGCCCACCGCACCCTGGACCCTCAACTCCCGCAGGGACTCCAAGCCTAAGACCGAGGAACTTCCGGCCTTCACTCAAGTTACGTTGAAGGTGAGTGATAAACTCCGAGAGAATCGATGATTCGACACTCACTTCATGATAATCTTGAGATAGGGTGCTCTAAAATGAAAGACTTTTTTTTAATTTTTAGAAACGGTATAAAAGTTTCGTGGTAGAATATTGAATCACTCTGGTAACTTCTTAGAGATGATTTTATATTATTGCGATTTTGCCAACAAGCTTTTCCTGATTTTTGTAAGAAAAACTGAGGAAAGATTGAAATGTATAAAAGGTGGTTGAATCGTCTGAAAAATAATATATCCTTCATTTTGTGATATTCCGAAGAAAGACGCAGAATAGTGAATTGCATGATTTATTTGAAGAATTTACAACAATAACAAGAAAGAAAAAGTGAAAGAGAGAAAGAAAGATTTTATTATAATTATAAAATATTAGTGCGTGTATATATATATATATAATACACACATATGTATTTTTATAAATGCAGTTAGTGATTGAAAAAAGTTTAATGGTGCAATATATATATATATATATATATACATGCATTTATAAAAATACATCACATTTTATAATAAAAAATTTATTAAATTCCATTTTTAGTTTTATAATCATTAATAATCGTATTTTGAAATCAGTAATCAAAAATACTATATCATGCTATATTTAATAATATTTAAGTTAAAAAAAAATTCAGCACAAAGTAAATTTCAAAATTGTTAGAAAATGACGGAATCAATTTTGGATCTACGGCATTTATTTAAAGAAAAGAATGAGTTTATTCAAACATATATCGCAGCTTTTCTTCGGGTTGAAATCAGGTAATACAATCCGCTTCTGTTTCTGCCGAAAGCACGCATGAGTAGCCCGTATTATATGACTTTTGCAGTCTTTTTCCATTCAGCTATTGGGTTTCAAAGTCAGCGGACTTCGCTGTACTAACACTACCGTGATATTAATAGCCGATGTAGGTGTCTTGCAACGAGTTAACGCGATAAACATTTCTGGTGGCGCACAATTCGTTGTATCCAAACAATGCACTTCAAAATACATCGTCTACGCCGATTAATAAAAAATGTATTCCTTTATGGCAAATTTTTTTTGTATAGAAATCTACGATTATTTGAATGAAAAATAACTTTCTTAATTTATTTTGTTATGAAAATTATTATAAATTGCTGAAAAATTGCTTCAATTTTCAAATTTACACAAATTATAAATTACGAAAACGCGACACTGCTTAATGAAATAAAATTCTAATAAAAGAATTCACACGTATTGAGATTAAGTATTGAGATTATTGCTATATGTGTTATATTTATTTCTTTGTAACGCATTACACGAGAAAATTCTCAAGCGATTACTTTTGATCTCTGGCCGATGGTCTACGAGAAATTATGAAGATACAGTTACAAAGCTAATATACATACACATATAACACGAGATATAATACGAGATAACGTAAGAAAAACATGACACCCTGGAAATCTCAATAGCATGTAGAGATTTTGCGTAGTTCAATTAATATCGCGATATTGTTGATCATCTCGTATTTAGATTTTAGATCATCAATTGAACAGATTAAATTCGAGATATAAATTTTTTGATTTCAAGAGAGAGAGAGAGAGAGAGAGAGAGAGAGTTCCTTTATATTTTCTGATTATTAAATTACCTATTAAATATTTTTATTATTATCACACATATTTTTCTAATCATACCATAATATCTGAATGTATTATGTTGAAATTTTACACAACTGCATATCAATTTTAAGATGCATATCATTTTAAGACATACATCTTAAAATTGATATGCAGTTGTAAAATTTCAACATAATACATTCAGGTATTATGGTATGATTAGAAAAATTTGTGTGATAATAATAAATAAAAGTATTTAGTAGGTAATTTAATAATAAGAAAATATAAAGGAACTCTCTCTCTCTTTCTCTCTCTCTCTCTTAAAATCAAAATTTATATCTCGAATTTATTATATTTGATATTTGATAATCACAAAATGACGAGTCCAGGCAGATAATTGTACAAGTACAAACGAAATAAAAGACAGTTTTGAGAAAATTGCAAAGCGCTCAAACGGTTTATAACCGTTCGTGAAAGTATTCATATATGTTAGAGACATGCTTGTCAATACAACTGCGTTTTCTTAACGCGAAGGAAAGTGAGATCCGTTGTACGCGTGCTCGCATATAAGCCTCTGGGTCACGATTATTTAAAGAACACGCGTTTCTATTTCAAATGACTTGCCAGCTGCGTCTTCCGCCAGTTTCTTTACACGTTTATATCGCAATCTCATCTTAATTTATTTCAAAATCGTTAATGCAACGTCGCGGATGTATCGAGAGCAATTTTGTAGAAAAGAAAAAAATTTGTAAACAATTTTTATGGAAATAAAAATCATTCGCGAAAATTTTTGAAGTATCCTGAAAATTGAACAATAATTCTACGAGAACCACTTATTTGAAAAAAAAAAAAAAAAATGGAAACTCCTCATCGATGACGATTTAAGCTGAAGAATGTGACATCTCGGCAAAATTCAATGTGGATTATTTAAAGCCGGCGGAACGAACTCTTCGAGATTTGCCAAGAAAAGTCTTCGGATTTCTCTTTCTTTCTCTTTCTTTTTGTCTCTCTCCCTCTGTCTTGAACAATCAAGAGAAGAGGGATAGAGAGATTTTTCCTCTTCCTATTTTCTATCGTAGCTATCTTTCGCGAGATGTGCGACAATTAATCCTTCGTATTCTTTTCAACCGGACGCGATCGTATAAAATATATATATACTTCACAAACGTACGAGAAATTGATTTACGTTGCAAGAGTGTCGCGAAAACGCAAACTATAAATCGAAAATAAATGACAGTGCCAACAAAATTTGTATCGCGACAAAATTTGATCAGTTAACTTGCTAATAAAATAAAAACTAATAGTGTTTAATCTGGATTATATAATTAAGTTCAATTAATTTATTATACATATAATTAAATTAAATTAATTTATTATATAATTAAATTATATAATTAATATATGATTAATTACAATAAATATTTTCTAAAATAGGAAGCTAATTTAATAAATCTGACTAAAAACTGTAAGAAAATGCAAATTTTTGTCTATTTTTGACACCGTTGTTATATTATACAACGATGCAACTTTCTCTCCCTCTCTCTCTCTCTCTCTTTTTCTTTCTCTCTCTCAACAAATGATTTTTTTATGAAACTTTAAAAATAAAACTGGAATCATTAAACACTTAAGTTAATAAAAATATATTGTGCTATGTTTCTAATAATTTTATTGAAGATTATTAAATATTCTTATTTAATCTATTATTATTTTAATTATTAAATATTTTTTTAATGTCATGTTGTATGTGTTTTTAAATAAATTAAAGTAAATGTTCTCTTATTGTCTTCGCATGTTATCGATACTATGATTAAACAAGTGTCCCTTCCTCTCGATTAAACAGAGTGTGCCGAAACCTGCAGAACCAGCAGCGCCTTCGACAGATGGACAATCGCGTAAGCAGAGCAAAATCACGATAATACCGAAACAGCCGAACAATGAAAAGATTCCGAGCAGTCGACCGGTGCCGACGAAGTTGCGCGAGAATGGACGACAGGAGCCAAATTCGAGGCCGCAGCTCGAACGACAGATACGCATCGAGAGATCTCGATCACGGGGTGACATTATACCACTCTCGAAAAGTGAGAGTACCACAGGTACGTGCGGTGATGATGATCATCCCTTTTCGTAAATTCCATCAGCCACAACATCAAACAATTAACCTTTCTTGATTTTAAACAGTTATTAAATTTTTTTACCGGTCTCAGTTTTGCATATTAAAATAAAAATTATTTTTTATGCGTAGTGAATGTATTATGTGATTTGTCTATAAAATTGATAGATCGATTTATATAATGTTATATCCAAGTTTCAAAATAATCAAGAACAATGTATATAAATAAATATATAAATAAATGATTAATATATAAATAAATTAATATATAAATTATTAATAAAAAGGAGATGTAAAAACATTCTAGAATTTATTTACACATTTTACTATACAAAATTTGATATTTTACGAAATACATATATAAATTATAAACTATATATTTTTTGCATAATTAATGAGAATTCTCTATATCAAGGCGCGCCAACCTTATCAAAGAGCTCGTCGCGAGCGAACGTTCCGCCACCGCCACCTCCGCGACCGCCTCCACCACCGCCTAGCAGGACGGTTCTCAAAGATCTTCCTCCGCTCAACGAGACACAAATGCAGACGCTGGAGGCACTGAAATCCAGGCCGAGAAAACGGCCGGACTGGGCTAGCATGATGAAAGAAGTCGAGAATGGCAAACCGCTCAGACACGTCAAATGCAACGATCGGAGCGCGCCCCTGATTGAGAGGGTGAACAAGGTCACGGCTGATCCAGCAGGTAATCTTCGAACTCTCTTCGATCTCCGTCGGGTGCCCACCAAGGCAAACCTCCTCTATAAGAGGAGTGTTTCTTTTCTTTGAGAAGAGAAGTCATCATAAGGAAAAACTGTGCTTCAAAGAAATTTCCCTTCTCTCGCTTTCTTTGTCGACACCGCAATCGAATGAAGGGATGCTGAATATGTAGTATGATCAATTAAATAACAAGCAGAGCTTTCGATTAACGCAATGCGTCCATTTAGGTTTCATTTGCAGTGCAAATAACTAGCAGTATTGTTCTGTCGTTTCCCTCTCTTTCTATTGCCCAAACCACTCCCTTTCAATAGGCGAGCCCATTTATTCATTGTTAAACTATTGGGTTAATTAAATTGTTAATTGATTATCGTTGAATTAATTGATGTCTTCGTGTTTGGGTTTATTGACATCCTGCTTCTCTTTTTCTTTCCTGTCCCGCGAACGATCAGCAATCAGGATCTCTCATTCTCCGAATGAGCATTCTTGACGAAAAACGAGAATGTTATTTGACAATAGATAATCCATCATGAATTTAAAAAAAAATTTACGCTGATGTAAAGCGTTAAGTATTATCAATAAATGAATAAGATCTTCATAAAATTCTATGTAATGCAATTGTGTCAAGCCGAAAAAAAGTATTGTCTAGCTTTATCATCCTCACTATCCTTAGTCACAAATTAATTTTGAGATAAATAAGGCAAAAATTATTATCAGTTATTTTTCAATTTTTAGCATTAAAAGTCTTAGCCATTAAGATTCAAATTAAATCCTTGTTTAAAGTCAAGTCAAATTTAGTCAAGAAATGCGATATTATGATTTCTTTATAACTTTAAAACGTAAAGACATCTTGAATTTTTCTTTGAATCTATTTATATTTTGATTTAAAAATATAGAAAAAAAAAAGTTATATTTTTGTTGTTGCTAAAAGACAGTGTTTACATTCATTTGGAATACATTTTGTATATCTTGTTAAAGCAATATAATGGAATGGCAATATTTATTTTACATTTTGTCCTAATCGATTATTTTTCTCCGCTAGGCAAGGCTCACTTCGTATTCGAATCTGAAAAGTCGAATATACACAATCAACTGCTGAAGCAGATCCAGCAGGGCGTGAAACTCAAGATTGTGAAGACCAACGATCGCTCGAAACCAATGCTGCAGGGCCTGAGAAAATTCCGACGACAATTAACTATAGAGGAGCAAATACAGAAAGCCGAGGAAGCACCTGTAGATGCCGAGATTCAGGACGAGATGGACGATATAGACGCCGTCAGAGATGATTTGCAAAGCACCAAACAGATGCTCGCGCTGGAACTGAGAAACAAAGAGGCCTTGGAACGAGATAACAAGCGATTGCAGGTAATAAATCTAACAGGCTCCACAAGATTTTTATGGCAATTTTAACAGGACTAGACTTTTATACATTTAATACATTTTATACATTTTATACATTTAAGACATCCTGGTCTCTAAAAAAATAATAAATACCGTTGTCACTTTTTATGAAATGATTTTATGGATAGGCGAGAATTTTGAATCTTGAGGCAGAAGTGGAACATATGAAGCTTCAAAAGAATGCCCAGGAAAGTAAGCAGCAGGACGAGAAACTCGCGGAGTCCTTAAGGCAGGAAGTGCAACAAGCGAGGAAGGATGCAGAAAAGACCGAAAAAGAATACACTAGCGCTGCCGAGGAAAGAGATAAGGCTAGAAATGAGTTGGAAGAAATGAAAAGAATGTATGCGGCGTTGGAAAAGCGCATGAAAGCTGGTGCGTATAATTAATATTGTTTGTAAAATAATTAAAATTGCTTTATTAAAAGCTAACATGACCATTATTAATATTACGCACAAAATATATATTTTATATGCTTTTAGAGTGTTTATACTAAAACTGCGCTTCTTTGCTTTGATTTTTTTTTTTTTGCTTTGCCCATGAAGAGCTTGCGTCAATTGAAGCTAAGCCGATAATAGAGCTAGTTGTAGATTGTTAAGACGTAGGCTGATACAATGTTACAGGAATGGCACTGGCTGGTTGTCCAAGCGCAAAGGACGTAGCTAAAATTGCAACGCAGAAGAGTATAGACAAACAGGATGTTCATAGCACGAGCGAGGAGGAAGAGGAAAGTACAGAGGAAGAAGAGGAAGACGAGAATCCCAAAGCTGCGGCAGAGAAACGCGCTCAGAGAGAAATCAAACTACTTATTTCGAAAATTAAGAATTTTAAGTAAGTGCGATAATATATAAAGTTTTAAAAATATACTTGAATCGTGTGAGCGACAATACATATAATACAAATAATAAGATCGATAATGCAAATAATAAAAAAGAAATATATAATCAAAATTCTGAATACAGGGACAAAGCTGTAAACGCCAGGAAAGAAAGGCACGCGCTGAAGGAGCAAATAAAACAGCAGCAGAAATTATTGAAGGAAGAGAGAAACAAATATAAGGACTTGCAAAAGCAAGTGGATAATATGGCGAAACTGATGGGGGAAATTGACGAGGAAGAAGAAGAAGAAGAGGATGAAGATGAAGAAGATACTGAGGAATCTGAGGAAGAGTCGGAATCTGAGGAATCGGAGGAAGAGGAGTCCGAGTCTGACGATGAAGAGGCGCCTATTGACAAGCGTAAAAATAATCTGCAAGTGAGTTGCCATTGCGAAGATCATTGCGGTTAAATGCAAAGTTTGAATTGTATTCCTGAACGTTTGTCTTTTTAGAAACACGTTAAAAAGCACGAGGGACGACTGGCGGCTTTGAAAAAAGCAAACTACCTGCTTAAGGTGCAAGTAGATAGAATTAAGGACGATCTAGGGAAGCAGCGAGAGGATAGTATTCGCCTGCAAGAGGATCTTGATTCTGTCTTAGCAGATCTAGGTTGAACTAATCGCGTGAGCGGAGAATATTTTCCACAAATGCAGAGATTGTATACACACTTTATATAAATATCACGTATTGAAATATAGATAATTGTACGAAAGAGAAAAGATAATTACATACATACACACACACATATTTGACTTGAAAAATTTCCACAGGAAACAGTGATATATACCCATCGCAGAGATATCCACTGATTTTATCGCAAAATACACTATCCTATTGCATGAAGCTTTTATTACAGCCTTCAATTCCGTGAAATTAAAAAAAAAAGCCTATATCAAATAAACGTGATTTTTTTTAGCTCATAGTAATTTCACTCATAACAATTTTTTCATATCATGATAAATTTATTTTTCACGCATCCGTCATATAAAAACATTATTATATGTATATTACATATAACTACAATACATACATAACCTATATCAAATAAACGTGATTTTTTTTAGCTCATAGTAATTTCACTCATAACAATTTTTTCATATCATGATAAATTTATTTTTCACGCATCCGTCATATAAAAACATTATTATATGTATATTACACATATAACTACAATACATACATAATCTCAATATCACGTTTAGCGTTAAATGCAAAATATGGGCTGAAAATTTCATCTAACAAAGACTGATAATTTGGAAGGCTGCGCAGACTTTCGTGTGAAATAGGCTCATCGCGCTTATAAAGATATTAACTCTTCAAATTGTTATAATTTCTTTAACAATTGTATTATAATGGAGAGAGCGAACATTTTTATACATATAGACGCACACTACGTGGTAATTATTTCTGCGGTTTGTAATGGACATCTTCGTGCAAATCACCGCGAAATATCGAATGTTCATCATTCAATCGTGGAATATTAATCCGCAAAATATTTATTTTTTTGCGAAAAGATAAACGCTTCATTTTTTACATAGATATATTTATTATAAATTAATCGCACATTAAAAAAAAAACATAGTTAAATAATATATAGAAAAAGAAGAACTAGTTTTTTGCAAAGTACACAGAATATCGCGAAATACGCAAATTATGCAAAACATAGTTGAAGAAACATTGCTTTGCATACTGCATCTTTATCATTACATATGTAAGAGTTAGAAAATGTCTTTTTTTATTTCAGAACAAATTTTATCCATGTTGGATGAATTTGAATAGATATTCAAATGTATAATTGCAAATATTAGACATCGTTCTTAACGAATTGTTGCGTTATTTTTTGTTTTTTACTTTCTTTGCCTTGTATTATCTATCAAAACTTCAATTATTTTTTAAAAATATTAGATACTTTTATTACAGAATTCTCAATTTAAAGTAGCTGGTGGTATAATAAAATTTCTGGTTAAAATGCTGTTTTATATAATTATACAATACTTTCAGATTAATTCAAAGATGGAAAGATGGAGACAATATGTTTTCATTATTATAGATAACTGTTATATTTAACTCCCATCCATGTTGCTCAAATCTGAGATAATAAAAATGTTTAAGAAATAGCCTACATGTGATCCAGATAAAAAATTGAAAAGAACTGGCGTGAAATATAACACATAAAATATAATTTTTAGTCACAAGATGATGTAAGTTAATATTTTGTCTCTAAAGGATCGTGTTATACATAACAATTAATACAATCAATTATTAATAAACATAAATGAACAGAATATGAAAAATTGAAGAATAAAAAACTGGTGCATTATAAAATTAAAAAACAATTATTAATGATTGACACATATTCATCAAATGGATTATTTGGAATATGCTCTGATTTGAGATATTTCCTGTTATTTGTGTTCGTGATATATGTATATTAGAGAAATTCTCTAGTATATTGTTTTTATTTCTTGTGCATTATATAATATTTAATCCTGGATAAATAAAAAAAATAAGGAGGCCAAAAACATAGACTTCCAATATTATCAAAGAAACATTCGAAAAAAAAAAATGAGGAAAAGGGAAAATAAAATAACACAGCTAAATATATCAACATATTTCCCTATAAATATTAATTTATTTTTATTTTTATTCAATATAATATATAAATCTCTTATTCTAATCTTCATTTTGCTCCAATCTTCATGAGATAAGATAAATATACCAAGTAATCAAAATAAAAATTTTTATTTCCTAAAAATATCAATTTTGTACCTTAATATTACTTCTATCTTTTTCCTTTATTTTTCATAATTTATTTAAGCAAGCCTTTATTAGTTTATTTTTATTTAAGCAGTAAACTTGAAAATTTAATTGATTATAATGTATTCTTGAGTAATGTTAATGTATTTTTAAATAATTATTATGTATATTTGAAAAAGTTTATCAAAATAATGTCATTGATATATCATATCTTTATAGTGTTCTTCTTGTATTTCCTAAAAATGCTATCAAATGTAGAATGATTGATAGAAAGTCTAATATAATAATATCTTTATTTCTTCAAATTTTTGTATATATATAAAAACAATTCCTTTTTCTAACAAAAATTATTTTATCATTGCTCATCACTTTATATCAATCATACTCAAGCTGTAAAAATATTTTTTACGATGAATGACCAAACTGATCAATAATGGATAAATAAAAGTAATGTCCAATTTATGAATTTTATGTATGCATCTTTCTATGCACATTAACGAGCAGTCATATATATATATTCCAGGATTAAATATTTGGTCCAATTTATCCTAATCTGTCCATTTTAAGACATAATGGATTTGTGAGATGTATATGTATATCAATAATATATTTTTAACTTAAACTTCAATTTATTATTTTCAAATATAACTTTTATTATCTTTTAATATGATTTTAATAAATAATGGCTTCTAATATCAAGTAATTTATAAAAACAAATAATAAATAAGAATTTACTATTAAATTTATTATTATTGTAAATTTAAATGCACATATCCATTATTTCATAATTAAAATAGAAAACAATTTAAACTCACCGACCGGTGCAATGTGCAGGATTGCATAACAGAGTTACACAGCATAGTATAAGCGTTGATCTGCAAAATACACAAATATATCTATTTAATATAAATTAAAATAAATATTCAAACTATATTTAATATCTTAAAAAGTAATTATTTCGCGCGTAAAAATTTTCCTTTTATTACTAATGGATGAATTATAGTAATTAATTTTTTACAAATAATAAAATATAAATAATAAATTGTTTACCTCATGGTTATTCTGCCAACCTGATGCCGCTCCGGGCCTCTTCCACCTCCTTTATTTCGCCATTGTTGCTCCTTCGTGTCACTCACTCGCGAAAATAATTAATTACAACGACGCGGGCATTCGCGAAAACAATTAATTACGATTACTAACTACACCTGAATACAGTTAATGAGCGCGCTGCACTTTGCACGGTACTTCCTACTTTAATGCCAGAGAAAATAACGCGGGAAAAGCGCGGGAAACTCGATACTCACGATTGCTCGCGATATCTCTAGAGACAAACTTCGTATGCGCGTTAATAACAGAGATTTGACAACAATCGCAAATTATTAAAATATGACACTAATTATGGCTTATTCACCAATTAAATGCGTCGCGATTCAGGAACGATCTATCCCGCTCTCGCGACCGTTACCGACTGAATGACAGTTCACATTGGCAATATCGATGCCTCGATGCTTGCTTCACGCGAATGAAATTCGCGGGAAATATTTACTTCTATAATTGTCGGCTTAATACATTTACGGAGTTACTCAATCTTGTAAGATAAATAATTGTGTGAAATGATATTCGGTAATCAGTCACCAGAGAATGATCCCGTAATACTTTTCGCAATCGTGTCTCGAAAATTAATGCATGACATATGGAGTGCCTCGCATCGCTTGCCTATCTGTCATCGTGCGAATGACAATGTAACTGCGCGTGAATAATGATACGCCACACGTCGCCAAACGCCGGATTTATATGCCACGCAATCGAAAATTATTTAATTTAAATAATAAATTGTTTACCTCATGGTTATTCTGCCAACCTGATGCCGCTCCGGGCCTCTTCCACCTCCTTTATTTCGCCATTGTTGCTCCTTCGTGTCACTCACTCGCGAAAATAATTAATTACAACGACGCGGGCATTCGCGAAAACAATTAATTACGATTACTAACTACACCTGAATACAGTTAATGAGCGCGCTGCACTTTGCACGGTACTTCCTACTTTAATGCCAGAGAAAATAACGCGGGAAAAGCGCGGGAAACTCGATACTCACGATTGCTCGCGATATCTCTAGAGACAAACTTCGTATGCGCGTTAATAACAGAGATTTGACAACAATCGCAAATTATTAAAATATGACACTAATTATGGCTTATTCACCAATTAAATGCGTCGCGATTCAGGAACGATCTATCCCGCTCTCGCGACCGTTACCGACTGAATGACAGTTCACATTGGCAATATCGATGCCTCGATGCTTGCTTCACGCGAATGAAATTCGCGGGAAATATTTACTTCTATAATTGTCGGCTTAATACATTTACGGAGTTACTCAATCTTGTAAGATAAATAATTGTGTGAAATGATATTCGGTAATTAGTCACCAGAGAATGATCCCGTAATACTTTTCGCAATCGTGTCTCGAAAATTAATGTATGACATATGGAGTGCCTCGCGTCGCTTGCCTATCTGTCATCCTGCGAATAACAATATAACTGCGCGTGAACAATGATACGCCACACGTCGCCAAACGCCGGATTTATATGCCACGCAATCAAAAATTATTTAATTATAATACTAATTATGACTTACTCACTAATTAATGCGTCGCGATTTAGAATCAATCTACCCCGCGCTCGCGACGTTTTGTTACCGACTCCGGAATGACGTTAGCAGCTTCACGTTGATTATGGCGGGAAAATTAAGCAAGATTCATTCAAGAAATGGGGTGGATAATTTTCTTTCTCCTAATAAAGCGAAACATTTTTTAATAGTGAAGAGATACTGTATGTTACAAAAAAAATCGTATGCTCTCGCTTCCAATTCGTTTAAATCGATGTGACTGCAGTGAGGAACAGGAAATATAGTAATTGAACGATGATGAGAATAAAATTAAGCATCTTTTAAAAATCAAAATTATATTTGGGAATCAAATGGCTATTGCTATTGTGCATTACATGTATTATACAATGTGTTACAGTGTGGCGATTTCGTCTTTAAGTTTTACTGAAACTTGAATTGTCTAAAAAAAAAAAAAAAAATACGACCTTTTCGTTCGCGGTAATATATCCTTGACCAAAATAGTTGAGAATGGCATTTACCATCACCATTTTTGAAATATTATAATACAAACATGAAACATAATGAAAAGAATGAACAATTTTATAGGACGCATGGTAGTATTTAAATTGGCATCTAGTTCGCTTATCGCTTTGTTGATTTTACATAAAATCGAACATGTAAAATACTTGCAAGAGATAAATGAAGAAAGAGCGAGGAAAAGAGATAGATAAAACGTGCATTTTTATATAAAAAGCAGGTATATGTATGTATGTATGTACATCGATTTGCGCAGAACATCCGACGTTGTTTACGAGTTGCAGCTTGGATCGAAAATTAAAATTCGGAACATAGATGTTTTCGACATGTAGAGATCATCTGTCTAATGTTACGAAACGATATAGTACACTGTGTATGTGTGTGTATTTGACGCGCGTTTACGAATAAATGTGTCTCTGTATGTAATTGCAGTTAGTTTTCTTGTTTTTGCGATGCTTTCTTGAATGAGATATGTTCGAAAGACTCGTATCAGATAAATAATTATTCTCGAGCACATCCGGTTTCCACAATACTTTCTATGCGAAAAATGTTTCTGATGAACAATTCGATAGAACGATTCGATAGAATATCCCATCCACTTCTATATACTTTTCCAGGTTTTGATAAAATTAGATCTTATCTTTGTAATCTAATTCTACACAAAGTCAAGAAAAGAAAAGAAAGATATAAAATGACGAGGTATTGATTTCTTTATATGATATTCAGAATCTAAAAAAAAAAAATATATGATTAGAGAACTTTTTAACATTATTTTAAATAATTTGTAAGATTTATGATGTTTAATTAAATAGATTGAATCAATGTAAAAATACATAACGAAGATAAATTATTAATATCAAATATAGTATATTTGAAAATCACAAGTATTTGCAATAGAAAGGAAAGAATATTATGAAGAAATGTAAGTCATGAAGGAATTGTTCTTGCATTTGTTTGATCTCATCTAAATAAAACTGCATTATCCAAATAAAAAATCTGTGTTAGTCAAGTCTTCCCTATTATACACGCATGATGTGAGATGATGCCTATAAATTCTCTTGTGCAAAATAAATAATCGCTGATTGTAGTATGATGTATTATTATGGCTGTAATTCTTCGCGAACGATATCTCTACGCGACGATAACCAGATTGCACTAAACAATAGCTCGCTTATGAGCGCCGCGTTCTTTCACGTGTCTATGAACTCGGTTTTGATCTTTTTCTCCTCCACCAGCTTAACGTCCGTTACATGCAAGTTGTGCTCACTCTTCGCGGCGAACTTGATGACGGCTTGCGTCGATACTTGAGTGGTGTGTCGCAGGTCCAAGCGTTTAAGTGCCTTACATCTCGCCAAATGATCGAGAGTCGTTTCGGTGAGTAATTTGCAGTTTGCCAGGTTTAATGATGCCAGGTTTGGCAACGATGTCAATTGCGCTACGCCAGAATCAGTGAGTCTACCGATTGAAGAAAGGTCCAGGGTCTCGAGATCCAACAAATGCTGAATTATGTATTTCACTCCTCGATCCGTGAGATCGCATCCAGCCAAAGACAGATTTTTGAGATGCTTTAATCGCGATGTCTTATCGATGAGACCGGGTCTTGAGTCCGTCGGTGAATCTAAGACCTCTTGCAGAACAGCATCATTCAGATAGGTAACGTAACTCAAGTTAAGTGTTTCTAAAGGCGGACAGCTGCAGCTTTTCAGAGCGCGAATACCGGACCAAGTGCAGCCCTGAAGGGATAATGTTCGTAACTGCGGTAGTCTACTCAACAGCCAAGCTAATTGCATCTTTAGTTACGTACCTGTAAGTGAGATTTACCGAAAGTTTTTCTAAAAAAAAAAAAAAAAAAATACGACCTTTTCGTTCGCGGTAATATATCCTTGACCAAAATAGTTGAGAATGGCATTTACCATCACCATTTTTGAAATATTATAATACAAACATGAAACATAATGAAAAGAATGAACAATTTTATAGGACGCATGGTAGTATTTAAATTGGCATCTAGTTCGCTTATCGCTTTGTTGATTTTACATAAAATCGAACATGTAAAATACTTGCAAGAGATAAATGAAGAAAGAGCGAGGAAAAGAGATAGATAAAACGTGCATTTTTATATAAAAAGCAGGTATATGTATGTATGTATGTACATCGATTTGCGCAGAACATCCGACGTTGTTTACGAGTTGCAGCTTGGATCGAAAATTAAAATTCGGAACATAGATGTTTTCGACATGTAGAGATCATCTGTCTAATGTTACGAAACGATATAGTACACTGTGTATGTGTGTGTATTTGACGCGCGTTTACGAATAAATGTGTCTCTGTATGTAATTGCAGTTAGTTTTCTTGTTTTTGCGATGCTTTCTTGAATGAGATATGTTCGAAAGACTCGTATCAGATAAATAATTATTCTCGAGCACATCCGGTTTCCACAATACTTTCTATGCGAAAAATGTTTCTGATGAACAATTCGATAGAACGATTCGATAGAATATCCCATCCACTTCTATATACTTTTCCAGGTTTTGATAAAATTAGATCTTATCTTTGTAATCTAATTCTACACAAAGTCAAGAAAAGAAAAGAAAGATATAAAATGACGAGGTATTGATTTCTTTATATGATATTCAGAATCTAAAAAAAAAAAATATATGATTAGAGAACTTTTTAACATTATTTTAAATAATTTGTAAGATTTATGATGTTTAATTAAATAGATTGAATCAATGTAAAAAATACATAACAAAGATAAATTATTAATATCAAACATAGTACATTTGAAAATCACAAGTATTTGCAATAGAAAGGAAAGAATATTATGAAGAAATGTAAGTCATGAAGGAATTGTTCTTGCATTTGTTTGATCTCATCTAAATAAAACTGCATTATCCAAATAAAAAATCTGTGTTAGTCAAGTCTTCCCTATTATACACGCATGATGTGAGATGATGCCTATAAATTCTCTTGTGCAAAATAAATAATCGCTGATTGTAGTATGATGTATTATTATGGCTGTAATTCTTCGCGAACGATATCTCTACGCGACGATAACCAGATTGCACTAAACAATAGCTCGCTTATGAGCGCCGCGTTCTTTCACGTGTCTATGAACTCGGTTTTGATCTTTTTCTCCTCCACCAGCTTAACGTCCGTTACATGCAAGTTGTGCTCACTCTTCGCGGCGAACTTGATGACGGCTTGCGTCGATACTTGAGTGGTGTGTCGCAGGTCCAAGCGTTTAAGTGCCTTACATCTCGCCAAATGATCGAGAGTCGTTTCGGTGAGTAATTTGCAGTTTGCCAGGTTTAATGATGCCAGGTTTGGCAACGATGTCAATTGCGCTACGCCAGAATCAGTGAGTCTACCGATTGAAGAAAGGTCCAGGGTCTCGAGATCCAACAAATGCTGAATTATGTATTTCACTCCTCGATCCGTGAGATCGCATCCAGCCAAAGACAGATTTTTGAGATGCTTTAATCGCGATGTCTTATCGATGAGACCGGGTCTTGAGTCCGTCGGTGAATCTAAGACCTCTTGCAGAACAGCATCATTCAGATAGGTAACGTAACTCAAGTTAAGTGTTTCTAAAGGCGGACAGCTGCAGCTTTTCAGAGCGCGAATACCGGACCAAGTGCAGCCCTGAAGGGATAATGTTCGTAACTGCGGTAGTCTACTCAACAGCCAAGCTAATTGCATCTTATTGATCTTGGTCCAGTCAAGCGAAAGACTCTCAGGTTGTCGTCGGATGATGGCGGTCAAGTGTATGGACCTTAGATTATAGTGCGACATGTTGATCTTCTTCCATAGACCGGGATCTATGCTATATCTCGCCCAGGTACGGCAAACCAAGGCACAATTAAGCAGATCCTTTATGTCGAGGAATCGAAATACCGCAAGCATTGCCGTTTTGTTGAACACTGAATTTTGTTGCTTTGACTCGCTATCCGTTTCCTGGATAGGTAGCGGTGGCGCCGGCGCTGGCCTGACTACTACGTGCGCCTTCGCTAGAGATCTACTACTCGAAGCGATCAACTGCATAGCCAGCTGAATGCGCTGCTGAGTCATTTTCTGCTCACCTTCGGCTGGCTCTCCAGGCGAATCGTTCCATGCCTGAAGAAAACGAACCAACACGAACGCAAAATTTATACAGGAGCGCCCTATATAACGCAACTAGAGATATATCTTGAGATCTAGTTACGTGAAAATGTATAAAAATTATTGTATTAAAGATATAAGACATTTCATTAATCAAAGATGTCCCTATATATTTTCATAAAATTAATTTACCTCGGTGGGGTCAGGCCTTGATCGTTTACTCGGTGTCATAGCCCGTTCAGAATCTGTAGAAGGGGCTGAAGAAGCTGCGCTGGATACTGATAATTTTCGTGCGCGAGCCTTCGGCTGACGCGGCCGATAATCTAAATTTCGACCTCGCTCGCAACATTGGGGACACTCCCAACTGTTTGGCAAATCGTCATTCACTGTTATTTCTTCCGAATCCAAACCTATACATTCTGGATGCACGATGTCGAAACACATCGAACATTCCATTAAATTAGATGGTGCCGTGGGAACAGGTTTACCTGTAATTATAAACATTTGATCTAGAAATATGTTATTTGTTGTCATAATATAATAAATAATATATTTGATTGCTTGCAAATCGTACATACCCATTAATGGCGCCGGTGGTTGTTTCCAGCCATCCAACTGACAGACTTTACAAGCTGACGTAACGGGCAGCATAGGCCTCAGGCACTGACGCATTAAACATGTTTGTTTGGCACGACCACTACCTCCGAATTTCACCATATCTTGGCAATAAACGCATTCACGACAATCCTGTCTAGTGCATGCTTCGCATTTCTTGCATCTAGTACGTCTCCTGCGCGGAAACGCTCTCTCGGATTTCTCCGAGTGATGCCTTTGCATCTTTACAAAACCTTTTCTGGTTACTCTCATGCGTTCCTACAAGAGTAACGAGATTAAAGAGATATTCAAACAATATGTATTTATTTCAATTATGTGTAATAAATAATAGATACCCTATCTGCGATAGTTAAGGGTGGCGGTGGCGGCAATACAGGACTGCCCGTTACGGCCGCTTCTGGATTATCGTTCCTATGCTGTTCTACCAAACATCGAACGTCGTGAATAAGAGCAACCGGATCGCGTATCAATTCCGGAACGTTTTTCTTCGTCGACGGCAATGAATGCAAATACATAACTATCGCTTTCAAACCATGCAATTCAAACGGCGTTATATGTATATGCTGGTGCTGTTGTGGAACTGAATGCTGCCGCTGCGATTCGGATATTTCCAAATGAGTCCTACCCAAAAGTACGTGCACGTATCTTTCAAGAACATACCTGTAAAAACATATAAATGCTTGTAATAATACACATTACATTTAATATTTTTTATATATATATAAAATTGATTCTTACCATAACATTTCTGTGAAGAATGGATACCGAAATTTCTGTGGCACTTTTGTATGCTCTTCCACTTGCGCCACTTTCAATTGTTTCTCTATGCCAAAACTATGAAGAAAATTCCCACCGAAAACCAAAGAATCCTGAGGAGTGTATACAGCGTGTATCCAACCAGTTGGTATGAATAGCGTCATACCAGCTGTTAGACTTATCCTGCCACATCTGTCTACCATATCACCGAAAAATACATCCGACTGTTTACCACTCAACACCCACTCTTGATAAAGAGCCAAGTTTTTCTCAGTTGGTGGAATCAGCCAAAATATTTTGCCACCACGCAGAATGTGATACCACACACTTGTACCACCAAAATCAACATGAAAGTCTGTGTAACAACCTTTCACCGACATTAAACAGTACTTTTGCACTTTTGGATACATCATGTCTTCTAAAAGATTTGTAGATTCCACTTGAGCATCTTTCAAATGCCTTGGCCATATTACGTCTACCCAATCGACTTGTCGCACTAATGCAGGTGACTGTACATAATTCTCTAACTTGGTATGACTAAACTCTAAGGAAATCACATTCAATAGACGCTCCTTGTTAGAATCCTCGTAATACTTTTGCCACTCCTTCATTGTCATATCTTCGTTCTTTTGAGTATTAACATCCATAACATCCAGTATTCTCTTAGAACCTATCGTATAAACATTATTAACCTGCAATATATAATATTTTTGTTCTCATACCTAAAACTTACCGACGCAAGTTCTCACATCATTGATGGAGAAATTGGAGCTGGGTACTCGTAGACCCAGCCCTGACTTCTCCTTAAACAACAACGGTATCTGCAGACCATATTTCTGCAGATACATGAGATTCAGCTCCGGTCCAGTCATCTCACGAAAGAGTCCACTGAAGTTGTTCAGGTCATACCTCTCGCATTCGATCTTCTCGTCGAGCTGAAAAGTTCTACGTCCTTCGATTTCCTCGTCACCTAAGGTCCAGTCATCGGTGTACAATTTTCTAGTTCTTTCCCGCTGTAAATGGAATCACGTAAGTGATGAGAAAAACACATTGGTCGAATCGCCCTCGAGTTGTTCGACATCGTCGACGCCGAAATTCGCGCGTGCTCTTTGTTTACCAATTGGCGCCTCTTCGGCAGCGGAGCGGACTCATCGGCCATTGCGGACACGCTGTCAGAAACGTATCACCGGAATATCATCGGACACTCGGTGGAGCGTTGATACGGCAAAGACAAACAGGCACGAGCCAGTCTTTAATCGACTATACGCTCGTTTATTATTTACATGTCAAGCCTAACGCGCTATTGACGTCGTGCACACACGTTCCTGACCCGTATTCACTCTTCCAGCGAAACGACCACGCCATTTTACTGCCGGTCAGTACTGCCAACCACATGCCCTTGCGCGCTTCAGGCTGTCGCAGTGATCTTCGCGATTTTTTTGCCCGGACACGTACGTATATTTCGTATCGCGTTAGATGAGGAAGGTTTCAAAAGACGCAAGAAAAGAATTTTCCAGGGTTATGGACTTTACGCGACAATTTGCAATGAATATTGTACTTTCATTCCATCGAATGCCAATATGTATGTCAACGATTGCTCATAACTTTGAAAATGGGAGTCTCCAATTAATCCTTTCTAACTTTTTTAATTTTTTTTTAGCACGTATAGAGAAAATTGTGCTGGGGAAAAGTTCCAAGGTAAATTCTTTGACGCAATATTAAGGTAATTGTAAGTTGTAAAATTACGGATTGTTAAAACATTTTTAAATATTACTATGTACGCGCGTTTAGTGTAATTGCCGTATCGCGCTGACATTCCAACATGTGCGCATGCGCAGTCGCCATATTATTTCGCATCGCGCCGCGTCCGATTGCGGTCGAAGTGTAGTAGCTCCGCGATTTTCATTGCATTTTCTATGTAATAAAAATGGATACCGTCTAGAAAAATATGTATCGTGTTAATTAAAGCGGGCGACACATAATTAGTTGTGTTTTTTCGTGTCGAAGTGAGCGAGCGTTTTTCGCGACGAGACGGATCGAACGAAGGGAAGATGGCATCGATAAATCTTTAGCGCGAGGGGAGGTAAGTAAATTTTCTCGCATATTTTATTAAGAATTCAATATATTTAGAATGTAAAGAGTATATATTATTATTTTTTCAATTTACAAAATACTGTCTTACGTATACATAAGACAGTAAAACACACACACACACACATATATATATATATACATACATAATTCTATATAAACACAGAAAAACAATTGATATGAAAATTATAATGCATGAAATTAATAAAGATAATAAATAATATTGTTGTTATACAAATAACTATATATTTACGTAACATTTAATATCGAGTTAACTTTTAAAGGCTGTTTATATTAGATATGCAAAATCGTACCTATGAAAATATACTAATTGTTTATTTAAATATATTTTACAGTCGTATCAAAATTAGAAAATAATACTTTTGTATATTTTTTTTGTTTAAAT